GGGGGGGCAAGAAATGTTATTCTGAGGCTTGTTTTAGCTATTTTGAGGCTTGTTTTAGCCATTGAAAACACGTTTAAACCCTCTTCACTTCGCCACCTCCAAATTAGCCATTGATACGTTGGCGTATCCTCTCCTCTGTGCCTCTCTGGGTGTGTGAGATGTGTGACAAGACAGAGGCAGACAGACAACAGACAGAAAAGGAGCACCAACGCGCCACCGCCCTCTCTGTACGTGCGGGTAAAGTGTGGTGTGAGAGAGAGGGGTGACTGGCTCTAGTGGCAATGGATAGGGGGATGATGGTGTGAATGATGACGTGACGTGGGAGAGGGGAGTGACGACGTCCAGGTGATGTCCTCAGCGACAGTGGGAACAGACACAGGGGAGGGAACCCGTTGAGAAGCAAAGAAACAGCACGCAGAGTCCAATCACGATACGCAACAACGCCACAAAGGGCTGCCAAAGCCGAAAGGCTGGGAAACTCCAATCCTGTGGTGTCCGTTCTAACGGTTTAGCTAGCAGCGCTGGCTACACGGCTAGCTTGCTCAACCACGACACGAAATACAGCTGCGCTACAGGCACCTCGGGCTGCTCTATCCTCGTCTGTTCTCAGCTGCTCTGCTCAAGGCAAACCCCTCTGCAATGCACCCATACATGTCTGGCTGCCTGCAGCACCTGGGCTGCTCCACTGACATGTACGTTGGCTACAGACGGCATGCATCACATTATGCAAGGGTTCCCTTCCTCAACGCCCTTCTTCCCATACGTACGCACCCATCGATTCCCATCCATGTATCCATCCATACACACATCCATCCATCCATCCATCTATCCAGGCAGACAGGCAGACAGTCAGACAGGCAGACAGTCACTCGCACGCACCCATCGACGGACACACAACACATCCGTCGAAATACACATGCGCACGAGCAGAACAAACACTTTATGCTCACATATACGGTGGACGCGGCCGTCGGCTGCACACATACGCGGAGGCGGTGGTCACGTGGATGCGGGAACACCCACATACAGGTCGGTTGTGTGTGCGGCAGAAGGTCGGTACACATCCATTCATTCCATGTATGCGTCCTCCTGTCTGTCTGCTCTTCCTTCCGGTTCGTACACACCTTGTCGGAGGGGTAGACGGGACTCGCGACACAGATCCACATAGACAAACATCGATGCGAGGTGTCCACTTCGCATCACCACCCCGCCGCTCGAAACGCGAGGCACGGATATCCCGACCAAAAGCACCGGCGGAGGGCTTGCTGCGGAGAGTCCAGACGCATGTCGGTGTCGTGAGATACAGATGGCTGAATCGGTGGATACGCGATAGAGATCGGAAGCAGATCTGAACCCAAAACAATACAGTTCGGCAATACAAACACAACAATACACTTCATCTGCCTCATATGCATCCCCTCTACGTACTTGCTCGTCGCTCATACGCATCGGTCGTCACTCGGCATCTCAGTGAGAAGCAGAAAAGGGCGGCATCCGATGAAATCGGTTGCTGACTGTCCTCTACAGGTCGTTGCTGTGCGAAAAGGCCGGTGAGGACCTTTCCTGTAGTTAGCTGAATAGAGGATCTGCTGGGCGGTAAGTCCCAGAGTAGGAGTGCTTTTACTTTAATAAGACCGATGGACTGGCCAGTCAGTCAAAGTTGTTTCTGTCCATGTATGGCATCATGAAGGGTGGTCAACACAGATCTCACTTCG